TTACCATGAAACAGTTATGCTATCTCACATTCCTGTCGCCTGTAGCTTATTAACATATATATATATATATATATATATATATATATATATATATATATATATATATATATATATAAAACAAAAGCGACAAACCGAAACATATACAAGAAGACATATCTACGTAGTCCGACAAGTATAAAAGTTTGATAAACGTACAATTTATATGAAATTGATTTTTATGTCAAACGATACATCGTCTGCATTGCCCATTTTATTTGTTTACTGTTGCTAATCAATAAATATTGATCGTTTAGACAATGGTCTCCCATTTTTGCAGATATTCCCTCGTAAATCTAGACATGTTTCTTCACTTAGACGAAGAAAATTTTTCTTTTCGTTTTGATATTTTTGCTTCTTTATAATTTCTAAACTAGGCGGGAAATATTAGAATATATATATTTATTATTTAAAACTCAAATTTTGACGAAATCTTTTTATGATTTGGATTTTATCTTACTATTTTTATGTTTTAAACCAATTTTCTAAAGGTGTTTTAGTTTTCCATAAAAATTATATTAATAATAATAATAATAATAATAATATTGTGTGATCAAAGACCACAAAAAAAGAAAGTGCTTTGTTATTGACATAGCAGTCTCTGCAGATTGTAATGTATCCTTGAAATCTTCAAAAAAAAACTATCAAAATACAAGGATCTTCAAGTGAAAATCTCAACAATGTGGCACATGAGGACGTCAATAATTCCCTTTGTAGTTGAAGCCGTAGGATTGATTGGAAAAGGTTCCGATAGGCCCAATGAAGGAATTCCTGGTAGCCCATGCCTTAAGAAAATACAAAACATTGTGCTCACAAATACAGCTCACACATTACGAAGAGGTTTATCTATGGAAAATGTGTGTGATCTCATTTTTTTTATTTATTTTTTACAAAAATTATCGGTAGAAATGCCAAGCAGCCATTTCTGACCTTAGGTCTCTTGTTGGAACCCGGAAGAAAATGTGTATAGAACAGAAATCAAAAGAAATAATAATAATAATAATAATAATAATAATAATAATAATAATAATAATAATAAGGAGGAGGAGGAGGAGGAGGAGGATGAGGATGATGACTACGGACATGATGATTATCAGCAAAATACAGACAACTGTTAGCATCACAAAAATGAAAGAAACTGGTCATCAATACGACCACTGGACATCCAACTGTTTAACCAAGGACAAACAGAGAACTCGTTAGAGAGAAAGAGTTCCTAAAATGTGATGGACCCTAAGGGAAGTCGATATCCAGCAACGATATCTTTTTCTATGTCGACTAGGGCTGGAGAACAGGCCGACTGGACCTCTACAGAAGAGTGAGAAGCACGCCCAATAAGGCATGAGAAAACTATTTAGAAAATACTGAAACCGTCAACATAATGTCCGACCTTAAACAATAGATTTATTCCAAAACATATAACACATACGATAGGTCACCGGCAATCTATGTACCTATAAAGCATATCTTTACCCTGAAAATATAAAAGTATGTCAAAATATCTGTTGCTGAAGGTATAAAATTGCATTCAAATTATTTTAATTTCGGCATTAAATCACCCACAAAAAGTATGCGATTTCTTTATTTTATTTTATCCAAAAATTAGAAAAATATAATAAAATTAAACATACAGAACTTGTGGATTCTATTTTATCAAACTTATATATATACTTATAAAAAACATGTATATATATATATATATATAAATATATATATATATATATATATATATATATATATATATATATATATATATATATATGTATATATATATATATATATATATATTGATCTTTTAATTATTTTTTTTTAAATACGAATTCAATTCTAATATATTTATTTGTAAAATATAACATACAGTCTATTAGTTATTAGAAGTAGAAAAATACTGTAAATTTGTAGGAATGGATTTTATATATTAAAAATACGACTTACTCATATTTAGATGACCCTTTTAAGAAATCCTTGTGTATTAAATTATAAATTAAGCAGCTAAATAAAAATGCTAAAAACTTTTTATCATTGAAAAACCCAGATGACACGCGAAAAACTGGTACCATTGTTAGCAGGCACCACTACCCTACCTTAACTTAACTTGATTATTAAGGTAACTGATATTTGATAAATTAGTTGTCTAGGGAAATTAAAACACAACCAGCCCTTATCAAAATGAATGAACTTTCCGTAACCTTAACAATGTAAAATATTAAGATAGTCTGTGCTTGTAAATGAAGTAAATTTTTAAATAGGTTATTCTAAAAATCGATCGTGACTGGGTCGGAGCTAAGGATTTTAAATTTAATTTTGTAATTCAATTTAAAATTTTAATTTCTATTTTAAAATATGGTAATTCCTCTGTAGCGATTGAATCATATTTTTAAAATAGAAAATAAATATAAAATATATATTTATATAATATATATATATATATATATATATATATATATATATATATATATATGTGTGTGTTTGTTTGAGTGTGTGTAAAGATAGCGAGAGAAAAGACATAGCTAAACAGATATAGATATTTGTAGACATGTAACATAAATTTAGTTTGTAAAATAAATGTCAAATTTTGGCACGCAGTGATAATAGAATTATCTATCGTCGGAAAATTAGTTAACTATCTTTTCAGTAAAGTATAACGGGTGCCTTATGAAAAAAATAAGTTTAGATAGTGAAATGAAACAGAGAAATGAGAAATTCGTTTGTAAATGAAAAGACCAAGCAAGGAAAAAAGTAAGAATAATACGAATATAGGAGGAATATCTTGGAAAATATACAGAAGAAAAAGAGTGAACAGAATTTAGAAAAATAAGATAAGTAAAAAAACCGAAAATGAATTGAAAGAAAAAAAGGAAAATTAAAAGGAAATAAGAAGCAGCTATCTCTTTAAACAAAAGACATGCAATGAGAGAACATTCATTTACAAACATTTACAATGATGGCGGTTTGGAATAACATTGAATCATGGGAATTTTTCTTTAAACGGTTATTACAATAAATATGGACATGAAACAACGACGTGGTGGGATGCTGGAAATCCATTATTAATTCAACGAAAATCCCCACGAGCGTATCTAATATGCACAGCAGAAAAATGTAAATATATTTATATATTGATACGAACATGTACACGCGCCGGTTATACATGTGCGCACGCGCATTCGCGCAAAATTATGGACACGTGTAAATTATCATCATATAAACTCAAAGGATCACGCACACATATTTACAGATTTCACATATAAATATTTAGATATACCCACATGTACACACCTTACACACATATATATATACACACACGTCAGATAAAGAAAATAAATAAAGGCTTATATATATATATATATATATATATATATATATATATATATATATATATATATATATATATATATATATGGGGGTGCACCTTAGCGAAGTGTAATTGTTAGCAAGTTTCTCTTGCTGGATCATTACGACCATGTCGTAAGTACTGGGTACAATGTACTTTCGACATTGTGTCACATCTAATTTACGCTTAGGAACTCGCTGTATATGTGCGTACGTGACGGGGTATATATATATATATATATATATATATATATATATATATATATATATATATATATATATATATATATATAATGTGTCCTTTGCATGTATAGGTGCGGATATGACAGTGCACATGGACGCACACACACATATATATATATATATAGAGAGATATACACACACTTTAGACAGTGAATATATAGACTGCTTACAATATGACCAGGATGCATATATATATATATATATATATATATATATATATATATATATATATATATATATATATATATATAGGCCTAAATGTGCAAGCACGTATTTATATATAAAGTGCCAGCGTGAGTACATGTATGTGGATATGCACACTTGAGCTCGTTTTTGGAATTGGACGACCAAAGTACTATAGGAAATATTGATATATAACATAATGACTGTACCCCACCACACACACACACACACCGTCAGGCACCGGTTGAAAACTGACCATTGTAAACAAAATGTATATTTCTTTCTATTATTTTTTCGTGTGTGTGTGTGTGTGTGTGTGTGTGTGTGTGTGTGTGTGTGTGTGTGTGTGTGTGTGTGTGTACAAAGAATAAATATACATTTGTTCCTCACCGTTATTTAACATCGAACGCTGTTTTATTATTACCAGTACCACTCATTGTACGCCATTTTATATTAGATAGATAGATAGATAGATAGATAGATAGATAGATAGATTTTTTGTTTTTTATAGAGTAAACAATATCCATTCACAATTCATGAATTCGCAGAAGCATGAAAATGGCATTTATCTCTGCGAGTTCGTCCCTATTGCAAATGACTGGCGCTCATATCAAAGTAGAAGACTCTCATGAGTGGATTGCATCCTCCCCTTTGAAAAGTGACGTAAAATTATCTTTCCACGTAAAAAATCATGAAAACATAAATCGTGATGAAAACATTTAAATATACACGACATCTGCACAAAGTTGTTTAAATAACAAAACATTTGAACATTATCTATAGCTACATCGATTTATAAATCACACTCTCTATTTTTCCTCTCTATGTCCCTTTATCTATTTCCACCTCTCTCTCTCCCGTCTCTCCTCTCTTTATTTCACTTTCAGCATCTCTCTTTCGCTATATATATATATATATATATATATATATATATATATATATATATATATGTATGTATTGCTTTGCCGATCTATATGTCCATTTCTCTATTGCCCACATCTCTCCCTCCCTTTCGGTGTGTCCTTTAACTATTTCCATTTTTACCCCTCTCTATCTTTCTCTCTTTCACACTCACACACAAACACACTCGCGCGCACACACGCACACACATACACCCACCCACAGACACACACACACACACACGCACACACGCGCACACGCGCGCACCCAGACACAGACACACACAAACATTTACGATTACATGACGTTGAAACACCAGTTCCCGCACGATCACCAAAGTTAAGCAACGTCGAGCCTGATAAGTACCTACATTGGTGACCGTTTGAGAATACCAGGTTCGGTAAGCTTGAATGAGCGGATGATGATAATGGCTGGAAATTTTCAATCGGAGAGTCGAGTTCCAATTCCCGTAGAGTCCGTTATATTCATTTCGGCACAAATAATCTTGGGATAGGTATGAATATATCTAGTTCTCCCAGCTATGGGTTGATCACTAAGAATTGGATTACTAAACTATCATTATCTTTCTCACCCCCCACCAAATATTTCAATCTAAAACTCTTTTCTGGCTGTAAATAGCCTGCAAAGGGTTGATAAGCCGAGAAAATGAATCGATAAAAATTTCTCTCTCTCTCTCTCTCTCTATATATATATATATATATATATATATATATATATAAAAATGCTTATATATATATATAAATATATATAAAATGCTTTTATATATATATATATAAATAAATATATATATATATATATATATATATATATATATATATATATATATATATATATAAAATGCGCAGGTATGCAGAAAATAGAAAAGAACACGTTAAACTGGTTTACCAACATTGACAATAAGCCTGACTGCATCCTAATTCAGTTCGATATTTTCGATTACTACCAGTCAATATCAAAAGACCTCTTCACGACTGCCCTGGAGTTTGCTACAGTATATTCTGACTTAACTAAGGAAGAAACAAACATAATTCTCAGTGCAAAGAAATCTGTCCTCATTCATAATGAGGACCAGTGGATTAACAACACCAATGACAACTTGGACATCACCATGGGATCTCTAGACTCTGCAGAATCTTCGGACCTTGTCGGTCTATTTATACTGTACAATCTAACCGCCCACCGTGAACTAGACATTGGGGACATCGGGCTATACAGGGATGATGGGCTCATGGTAATGAGGAGCTCCACAAATTTTAAAACAGGGAAAATTAGAAAGATAATTTATAAAGAATTTGGGAAACTAAATTTAAAAACAATAGTCAACACTAAATTAAAACGAGTTAACTTCCTTGACGTAACCCTAGACTTAACGAACAGCGTTCACCTACCTTACAGAAAACCTAATACTAACCCCCTGTATGTACACCCTAAATCAAATCACCCTCCATCTATAATTAAGCATATACCCACATCAATAGAGAAAAGAATAAGTATGAACTCAGCAAATAAGGAAATATTCCGACAACGCAGTAGTTTTTATAACACAGCCCTGAAAAATAGTGGATACAAAAACGCTCTTAACCCATAGAAACGATAGTACCAATAATATGAAAAACAGGAAAAGAAAGATCATCTGGTATACCCCTCCGTATAAACAAATGGTCAGCACCAAACTAGGCCATAAGTTCCTAGCTTTAATTGAAAAGCACTTTCCCACTAATAGCAAACTTAGCGACATCTTTAACAAAAACACCTTAAAATTGAGTTACAGCTGCACTGAAAATCTAGAAAGAATCATAAAAAGACATAATAAGAAAATCCTAGAAAAACATGCATGCCAAAACAGTAATAAAACTCATAAACTAAAATTAGATAAAAATAACGAAAAATTATGTGATTGTAGAAACCCTAAAAACTGCCCGTTGGAAAATAAATGGCTCACAAAATACTTGGTATACCAATGCACTATCTCATCCATTGAGAGTCCTAACACTGATATGATATACATAGGCTCAACGAAAAATAATTTTAAAATTAGATGAAGGCAACACAAGAGCTCCTTCAACAACATTCAAAATAGAAATCAGACATCTCTATCCCAATATTTCTGGCATCTAAAAGAAACGAATAAAACACCAAAAGTAAAATGGAAAATAGTAAATAAAACAAGAACTTGTAAAACCTGGGATGACCCATGCCCTTTATGCCTACAGGAAAAACTACACATCATTAAATTTCTAAATAATGAAAAATTATTAAACCATAGGCAGGAGTTAACGGTTTTTTGCCGACATCAACAAACTTTCGCATTAAATAATTAGCATAAAAAAAATCCCATAGCTAAATAAAAGTCTTAAAAGCTTAGCCAAATCATTAAATAGGAAAAACCCTTTCTGTAGTCGTCAAAAAACAAAAAGAAAAAAAAACAAATTGAAATTCAGTGCAATACGATCTGTATATAAAACACCCACTTGAATAAACAAATAAATAAATCGATAATCAGATGGACAATAATAAAACACAATTCTCCCGACACATAACGACCTAAAAATATCCCTCACTGGGAACCAACTAAAGGATGACCGCAAACATTAGCCTTGAAATAGATACCTTATCCAACCTTAGCAAAACCTCTCAGAAGAGGATGAATCTATTGATAAGAATTAACTCTCTGACCACTTAACGCGAGAAAAATAGTCTAGCCACACCCACAATAACGAATTTTGTAACGGACCATGCCTAAAAACACACGTAAACCGAGAGATAACTTATTCCTAAAATTTCGCTTGAAGATGAAACGGGACTAAACACCACAATTCAACTTAATTTTAATAATTATTTGGATGGTTTCGGTTCTCGTTTTTGAAACATGAGAACTCTTATGTAGCGAAGGAATCATATTTTTAAACAAAAAAATATTATATATATATATATATATATATATATATGTGTGTGTGTGTGTGTGTGTGTGTGTGTGTGTGTGTGTGTGTGTGTGTGTGTGTGTGTGTGTGTGAGAGAGAGAAACGTGTAATCTTTTGCCTTTTTGATAAAAAAAATCTTAACATACTACAAAATACATAAACTGAATATATTGCATAAAAGAAATGAATTAATGGTTACATGTAGACACGGAAATAAATATCTATTGAAAAATGTTGAACGTAACTGACTTTGGTAAATGCCACCCAACTCTATTATAAGATTTTTTTTCGTTTACCTTCATTTCTATTTTAAATTAAATTTAATTTTTATTTTTTATTTTATTTTATTTTTTTATCTACTCATTTATTTTTCCAAAATGAAAATGGACAGCAACAAATGTTCAGTCAAACAGTTTTAATTTTTTTGTCTGGTAATTATTATATGCATGAAATAATTATTTTTAGCATACATATATATATATATATATATATATATATATATATATATATATATATATATAGAGAGAGAGAGAGAGAGAGAGAAAGAGAGTTAGAGAGAAAGAGAGAGTGAAAGAGAGAGAGAGAGATACAGATAGGATTAATGCAAATATAAAATTTGTTATGTTATATTCAGCACCTCTGCTCCAGAGTTTCGTAGACGAATTTTTTTTCTAATCGTTCTGTTCAATCCCCAGGAGCAAATGACTGTCGATTTTTTTTTCTTATCGTCATTTTTATTTTGAATTAAAAAATAATTTAAGCGCTATTTATTGATGTGACGTTGTTTATTTTTTCTTTTGTCTGTGTGTGTGTGGAGGGGGGCTACTTTTAAAGAAAAGCGATACCTAATTATTTATTTTTTATATCATCCTGATAGATTAAATTCAATTTTTCCAAAAAGTAAAATATTTTGCTGTATTTCAAACTGAATTTAAATTGATTGGAATGAGTTGTTTTATTATTATTATTATTATTATTATTATTATTATTAGGAAAATGCTAAAATTGTTCATATTAACGAATCTGCATTTCAAAAATAAAGTATACCTTTCTCAAACTTTATTCGAGTAAGATTAGCCTTCTAAAATTTAATTAATTTGCTTTGAAACAAATATTACTTTTAAAACCCTTTTTAACACGGAGGTGAGTGCTTTTATTATGTGTTGACATTTGTCTAAGTGGGACTTAACTGTAACAATTACTTGATGAATATAACGGGAACGCCATCTTTGTGTATATTTTATCTACACCGTAATCTAATAATGTTAAAAATTGAAGAAAATATTCTAAACAATCTGATATTTAATTGAATTTTAGGTACTTTGACTTTATTGTCTAACTTACGAAGACGCATGTTGAGGGAATGTTCGAACATTAGCAATAAATTACTGTTGTTGCCGCTATTATTTTCCAATAATATAGTGTTTGGGTATCTGTATCGACACGTTTATTTTTTAAGTATTTTGGGCTGTTGAAATGTAGTGAGCTTTGACATTTATGACTAGTAAATATTTTAATTTAGTTATAATATCACTTGGCCACTACAAATTAATAGAGAATTTTAAAATATTTAAATGTTCATAAACTATTCTAATTTATTTTTATTAAAAAAAATCTAGTAAAAATTCATTATTCATCAATTTTTTTTCTTAAGATAAAAGCAGATAGTTTTGTTGTTTTTTTTTAATTAAATAATGTTCTGGTTTTATTGATAAAAAAGAAAAAATTCTAGTAAAAATTCATTATTCATCGATTTTTTTTTTTCTTAAGATAAAAGCAGATAGTTTTTTTTTTAATTAAATAATGTTCTGGTTTTATTGCATTTTTTTTTATTTTACGATTCAGAGCTGATTTTCCTTAACTGTGTATTCTGTATGACAAAAAATTTTCTGAGAAATTGTTCATATACGTAACGTAAAAAATTTAGCTCCACAAGAATGAATTTTCCAAAATTTCAAGAAATTAATAAGTGTGTGTTGGGGAGGGAGGATATATATATATATATATATATATATATATATATATATATATATATATATATATATGTTTTTTTGTGTGGGTGGAAACTTATAAAATAATTTCAGCCATTTGTGAATAAATCCAGAAAGGTTTCATTAAAATCCATCAATTATCTGAATTTTGCAAGAATTTCAAAATCAGTGTGTTTTGTACCGAAAAAAGACGGTATATATAGGGAGTAGGAACAATAATTTTACAAATTTTAAGAGTGGGTTCCTGACGATAAAAAAAGGTAAAATGTCCATATAAACATATATCCAAAAAGCCATCGTTGTGCCTCAACAGAGAAACTCATTAATATTCAAAATGTCTCCGGCTTGCTTCTGAACACACCTGTCGAGTAATTGACTGGCGGACACTTTCAAATACTCTCACACGGTGTCGAATGGTTTCGCAGGCCCCCATGACACGTGGATGAAACGTCTCTGCATTATTAACG